AGACTTTCAGCTACTTATTCTGACTACTTCAGACTTTCAGCTACTTAAAAACTGTCACACTTCAAAATGTTCGGCTCGGACTTTTGGTTTTTATAACTTTATCATATTTTGAGATAATTTAGTTTGTTGACAAAACTCTTAAAATTAATGAAAATGTTTCAGCTTCTTCAAACCTACTTCAGCTTCAGTTTTAGCTTTTAGCTACTGCTTTGCTACTTTTACCTATCGGCTACAGTTTTGCTGGTTTCTGCTTTTAGCTACCGCTCTGCTACTTTTAGCTTTTAATTCCTTTTTTATTGTATTTATTATATAATATTAACTTTTATTAGCCGTTTTGCTCAATTTAGCTTTAAGCCAGGACTTTGCTTTTCTGATCACTTTAGCGTATAGCTACTCTTTAGCTATTTTTACCTTTACCTACTGTTTTGCTAGCTTTAGTTTTTTAGCTAATCGTGGTTTTAGCTTTTAGCTATTGTTTGCTTGTTACAACATTTACTTACTGTTAAGCTGATTTCCTGTCTTTATTAGTTCCTTTTTAGCTACTCTTCAGCTGATTTTAGCTTTTGTTGTGCTGGTTTTAAGTTTTAACTACTGTTCTGCTGGTGTTAGCATTCAGCTTTTGTTTAGCTAATTTTAACTTGTTCTTCAGTTTGGGCCTTGTTAATAAGTTTGTCGTCTTTCGCAGCTTCAAACGTTTTCTTTAATTCAACGAGACGGAACTGGTTTTTCTTTCTTCGTCTCTTTGGGTCGGACTTGATTCTGGTTCTGATCTGACGCGAGTCTGGACCTGAATCAGGTCCAGGTTTGTGTTTCCTGTAAGGAACCGGCCCCGCCTGTTCCTGGATCTGTGTTCTTGCTCGTCGGAGCTCTTTCATCTTTTGATTCGTTTCCCGCCGGTCGATTCTGAAGCTCCGTTGATTTTATCGTTTTATCGCCGTGCGCAGCAGATTCATCAGTCTGCAGCCGAACCTTCGGCTGCAGACTCATTATCTGCAGCCGAACCTTCGGCTTGAAGCGGCTCCGGCTGCTCTTCCACTTGTTCATCAAACGTTCGTTTCTCTCAGACTCAAGCAGGAACTGTTTGTAAATCTGTTGAATCCAATAAACAATGTAAACAAGAGGCGAACCCAGCTGCCGTCTCTTCAGCTCTTCTGGACTTTGGACTCTCCGAGCCGAAGTAAATGTTTCATTACGTGTTGCGTCACACTGCTTCCCACAACTTCTTCATTTTCAGGAACTTCTTTTATCTTTGCTCGCTCGGAAACCACCACATTGATCACAGAGGGAATAGTGACGATGACGCAGCAGCTTTGTTCTTTATAAAAGTAGTAAACAACAAACAGGAGCGCTAACGTGAGCTAACTCATCGTAGTAAACCAGGGGTGTCCAGATGTTTTCACCATGGAGCTCCTTTTAAAATGACCAGGTCAAAGTGCTCCACCTGCTCCACGGCCCCGTTCACACAGAACGGCCTCTGAAGACTTTAGTGTTTTTTCAATGTTCATTGGGGGAATAAACAACAAACAACCCGGCTGGCATGAAAACGCTGTTGTTTCCATGTAAACCGGGTTGCCAGATAAGAAATGATGAACTACCGTATTTCTTGCCGTAAACGTTGCACCGCCCTATAAGTCACATCAGTCCAAATATGTCTAAGTGGAAAAATCCACGAATAAGTGACTTCTCCGTGTACGATGCATCTATTACACGTCACCGCTGACGACCAGGAACTGTGGGCCGGCGTTGAGCCAAAAATACACTGGCTGCCAAATGGCGGGCGTGGGAGCGTGCACAGGAGGACTTTAACAAGAGTTTAACAAGATTAACAGTTAAAAACAATTATTTGTTTGCTTGAAATTACAGTAAAGATGCGTCTCGGTGTAACTTTTCCTTAATAAATGCCCTTTAAGGGTCAAATCAGCTGCATTTCAAAAGCAGATTCGTGGAAGTAGGAACGTGCAGAGGGATGAGTCGCTGTGCATTTCTTTAAACTTTAACAAGATTAACATTAAAAAATAATTATTTGTTAGCGCGACTTTATAGTAAAGGTGTTGAACTTTTCCTTAATAAATGCACTTTGACAGTCAGATCAGCTGCATTTCACCGGGGCGGTGCAGCAAAATGAAGCTGATTTGAAGGTCTCTCCAGGCGAGATGGACGAAGGTGGCAGGCTACGGCAAGCTGATTGTGTCATTAATAGCCACTTTTACATATTACATGACCCAACGGCATGCCATACTCTCGAGTGTCATCTAGCAGCTGAAAATGGTAGCGCTCAATATTTTCAGTCACTGAAAAGGACGGGGTAAATAAGACATTTTAAATTTATCTGGCAACCCTGATGCTCAGCTGCATTCATCGCAGCGTCTGCAGGACAGTGTGTCCAAACTGCTGAAGACACTAACGTCTCTTTGGAGCCTGGACTTTATTAGTTTAGCTCCTACAAGCTGAAAAAGGCTGAGCAGCACAAAAACACTCTGCTCTCTGACATTTATTATAACTGTTGTTATTTATTATAACTGTTATTATTTATTATAACTGTTGTTATATTTATTATAACTGTTTTTATTTATTATAACTGTTTTTATTTATTATAACAGTTGTTATATTGATTATAACTGTTATTATTTATTATAACTGTTGTTATATTTATTATAACTGTTGTTATATTTATTATAACTGTTATTATTTATTATAACTGTTGTTATATTTATTATAACTGTTGTTATATTTATTA